AGGGTGGTATTACAGTATGAATATACGATATACATGTATATACAGATTATTGCCGTGTATTTCATTACCTTACATTTCCATGAATTGTTACCTCCGTTTATTTGTTTGTTGTTTGGTTGTTTTATTTTATTTATTTATTTATTTTTATTCAAGGGTAACATAGAGTTATGAACAGATTTTAATGTTTTTTTCCCTAGAGGTGTGTCTTAGCCTAACAGGCGCCGTTGCACTTTGCTGGTGATCTGGATCAGGATCTGGATCCTGGATTCAAAATATTATGGACAGATTTTGATGAGATTTTTACCAGAGGTGTATCTTGGCCTAATTTATATTTCATTGAATTTGGTGGTGATCCAGATCATTTGGTAAACCTACCCCATTTTTAGAAACGGATCTCCGTTGCAAGTCGAGGACCCCATGTACACACACACACACACATATATATACATATAAATACATATACATAGATATATATACATATATAATATATAAACATTCATATATATATATATATATATATATTATATATATATATATATATAGAGAGAGAGAGAGAGAGAGAGAGAGAGAGAGAGAGAGAGAGAGAGCGGTGGGAGAAATCACATACACATATACATATATATACATAGATACAGAGAGAGAGGAACCACACATACACATAGAAATTGCTTGTCTGTATCAGTTAAAGTTTTTTGTCACAATTCTCTTCTGCCGACGTTGTCAGTAACACCCTCCTGTCTGCTTTCCATCCCACAGATCCCCAGACCCTTAAGATGAGACAGCGGGCTCTGCTTCTGCGTGTTGTCCTGGTCGCCTGTGGCTCTCTGCTCTCCGGGCCTCGGGGCGCCAGCGGGCACGAGGAGGTCCACACGAACGCCAGATACGTCGAGAGCGTCCACGGGAAGCCCGTCATCGTTTACAAGGCAGTGAGACATTTTTGGAATGAAACTCCGATGTCGAATAGGGCAATCGTTAGAGCGAAAGGAACCCTCGACCTCGTCCCTGTGCCAACGTGCATCAAGGAGCAGAACCCGTGTCCCTTCGACGCGGACGGCAAGAGGCAGGAGATGAGGGCCTGCAAAGCCAACCAGACGGTCTTCGTGCACCTGAAGGACACAAAAAGCAATCAAACTGTAGTACAGAATTTCACTCACGAGGTGCACACTAAATGCTACTGCAAATCAAATTTAAACTTGCCGTATAGTGAGGGAAACAGTGAAAAGGTTCTGAACATCGAGGTTCAGTGTAAGAATGATTTTGCGTCAGATGAGAAAGAAGAGCATAAAAGTGCTCAAAGTAAAAATGGTCCTTCGTCGGATAAGGAGGAAAAGGAGTACTCTGTTGAAATTTTCTATAAAGTGCATTTTAGTCGGCTGCCTGGATGGGTCTAAGCCATTCCTCTTTGAGTTTTAGTCAATTCTTCGGCAGATTCAAGAAGTACTAATTTTAAATAAATTTAGTAGGGTGTGTCTTATTATTATCATTATTATTAAATATTTAGGCTATATGGCCAAAGAAAATCACCTGTAAATAATGATAAAATGTATCCGTGAGATTTTTGTCTTCTGTGTTTCACTCGTGTTTGAATGACCATATTTCTAATCATTATTTTTGATCTAACCTAATTTCATGCTTAATGATGGTTATATTGTGATTTTGATTTCAATTTATCAGGGAATAAAGACTCTGAAGTCTGACACTTTATAAAATAAAAAAGATTTCAATTTGGATAAACAACAATTATCTGAATCTATTGCGGCTGAAAACTTGTAAGCAAAATTCAGTAAGGTGAATCGTGCACAGAAGAGGATCCTGGCTATCTCCTCTGCTGGACAAAACCTTTTGAAGCTCGATTTTGAGTCAAGAAAAGTCTATATTTTGCACGTTAAAAGGTTAATGTTTAGAGCTAATAAATGTGTTAATGTAAGGTCATATTGTAGTGATACCATTACTCACAAAGTCTTCCAAGCAACTGAACTTACCTTAGGTTACCTTGGAAGTAAAAAGGTCAGTGGAGAAACATGTACGCTGTAAATTGCTCTTCTTATTTGGTTGTAAAATTCTTTAAAATGTAACTGGGAAACTAAGAACATCAAGTGGTGCAGTGTTACAGGAGAACCATCACTGTGTAAATTAAGGTAGAAATACTTTTGGACATTCTGTAATGCAGAACCATCTGTGTACATCTGAACAGTGCAATTTATGATCTTTACCACATTTCTGTAAGAAATTATGAAAAAGTGCTCTCACTACTGTTCGGGATTGAACCAATGTGTTCCGCATCAATTTTGATGTCAAGATTAATTGATTAGTTTATCTGACACTAACAAATATTCTTTTAATGTAACTCGCCACTCTTCTATGCAGCAGACCTTGTAGCTACTTACTTCATCGTTTCTTATAGAGCAGTGTTCAGTATTGTTCCATATGGCATATCCAGTATCTCAATTAATTTGTGAATCCATAATGCTTTAAGTAATTCATATAGAGAAAATTGAGGCTATAATTCTATTTATAGATGATAACATATTTTCTTGTGCTGTGTTAAGAATATATTTTCAATAAAATGTTTTCAACATATGTTTTCCATCAATCCTTTCAGGTTAAATTCATCAATAAAACATTCACGTGAAAAGAAAGACAAGAAAAACAATCAATACATTTTATGCCGAACCACTATGGAATCAAGATGTCTCCCCCATTGCAATAAAATCTTTCCATTGTTTGATCTGACTCCTGTTTTCCCCATAGCCACTACCCATGGGGACCAAACAACTAATGACGTAAAATCATAAAAGTTGCCAATTAAAAGCACTAAAGAATAAATGTGAGCGACACGCAGTATAAAAAAGATCTATGCCCATTTTACCATGTGCTTTCTCCCGTAGGTTTCCAGGGTGTATATATAATCTCACCTCCCCATGGAAGCACCAGCTGTTGTGTTCCCTGGGGCAAGCCGCCGCTGCCCGCTTGGCGTTTTCGTTTGGTATAACACTTGAGGGGAGACTTAGGTAAAGGCGTGATCGCTGGCCCTGCGAACCATGACAATATAGCACCAAAGTAAAGGAGCATGCTTGTAACACATCTAACTGTGTTATGGCTATGCTTTATTGGTTAACTTTCTTAGTGTTGATGGTGGTTAATTAAATACGCCAAACTAAGGTACTCGTTTTTTTGGGTTTGATCATTTATTCGTCCTACAAAACGGTCCAACTGTAAGGAATCAGAACATGCCTACTTAGAAACATGAAAACATATAACATCATTGACACAAATAATTATCCTTCATAATCTTGAAATTAACATAAGAAATTAACATAAGGCATTGAAAGGTAAATAATAAATCACAGATATTACTGTTACTGTAACGTTGCCTCTTTCATGTCATGTTTGCAAGGGAAAGATATACAAAATCCTAAATAAACACTAGTCCACATGATTCTCCTGGTTTAACTCACAGTTTCTGGCGTTCTCCAGGTGTTGACACTATCATAATCCATCACATTGAAGGATTTTATATAAAGCACATTACCAGCTTCACGAACACAAATGGCTGCTCACATGTCTCACTTTCATCCGCCTCGCAACAGAGGGCAGCACCCTACGTTGGCGGGAAATTCAAAATAGCTTAAACCAGGTGTTACAATGCTTTTCTTATTAACTTTTATGTATTGTGCGCTTGTATCAGTAAGAATCGTCTACCATTTTCATAAAACTACAATTATATCATATTTTTACGTATTCTATTTTTTTCTAAGATAATAAATCCAGTTGAATATCAGAATTGCCTAAAGACCCTACAGTCCAAAGGAAGTGCTTTTAGGCCTTTCGAGAAAATATGAATGGCCTTTGAGTTGTGAAAAGGAAATGTAGTGAGTTGAACTTTACTTTATTCTATGACCGTGTCTTACTGTACAGAAATGTACCAATAATACCGCTCACTGCCACCACCCGTTTAGTACGTACGGGAACGGGGTGTCATTTGGGAGAAGACAGTGTGTGAAGGGCTTGTGAAACGGAGGGAAAGATTGTGTACAACTGTTGTGGTGTGTGTTGTGTAGAATGTATGAGTCATCAAGACAGGGTAAAGATAACCAGAGCGGGAAGGACGAGCACGGGATTTTCACCACAGCAAGCAAGAGCTTAGAAATCTCTTTCAGGTGTTGAATGAACCAGCAAGCAATCACTTAGAAATATTTCATCAGGTACATCAACTTTTAAAATCTGTGATAGAGTTTTTTTAAAAAAAAATCACTGATTATAGAAATTTTATTATACAGAAATGAGAACAAAAATGTAAACACTTCATAAAATAATAACAAAATACAAAATCTAAAAGGGACAGGGGCTAGTCCCTTTAAAAAGAACTTTAAGAAAGTTCAAAAGAACTTTTGAAAAAATAAAAATCCGCTCAGGAGTTCAAAATGAAATCACTAAAAAAAAGCGATAAAAGAGCACCAGCCGTTCGGTTCTTTCCCCGAATGTAGAAGCATCTAAATTAATACCTTGCCACTAAATGTGCAGTGTCACAACCAGCAATAAAAGGTAATCCACGATAAAACAAAAATAAAAAGGGAGGGCAGCCTAGTCTAGGGTGTCCCCGCCTCCACCTGCAGCAGCTGCCGTTAAAAGGTGAGAACCTCCTAATTACACCTGTGCTCCCAAGGAACACAGGTAACAGGGCGTGAATGTTTACTCTAAACGTATCTTTAATAAATTCGTTTAGTGAAAATAGAGTCATACGGCTGTTTTCAAAATAAGCATTTCTTTAATATAAAACATTTAAAAAGAAAAATAACTAATCAAAAATGAAGATATCTTTTGATTAAAAAAAAGCGTAAATAAAAGGAAACTTTCAGCCGTAACTCGGCTACAAATACGTTTTTCAATGTTTATGCTCTCACCTCTTTTCACTTTTTTAAAACTGGTGCTCTGTGCTTTGAAGAGTGGCGGGGGTTTACTAAAAAAATCACTCTTATTTGCCTAAAAAATAGATTTATTCAGTAAATATGATAGTATACAGGCCCGCATGCGCCTTCCTGGGGTGGCCTAAGGGTGCTTCCCTCCTTCTCTTGAAAGGAAAGGTGTTCCTCTTTTCAATGGGCTCTTTACTCGGGCTTCATCCGACCGTCTCATCGCTATATTCATGCAACCTCACGTAGCGATCTTGATCAAACCGGGCGTACAATTCCCGTAGAGTTTTGTTCTGCGGGACTTCGGGATTATATTTGGATGCCAGCTGCCAAGGGAGAGACTAATTAAAATATTGCACGTTTTCAGTCCACTACAATAACATATATCAAATTCATCCATCCATCCATCCATACATACATATATATATATATATATATATATATATATATATATATATATATATATATATATATATATATATATATATAAGAAATCCTAAGTAACCAAACTGCATCCCATTGAGGCCTGACCCAAGCTGCACCACAAGAGGGCCTAACAAGTTGTATAACTCATACATAGGCCTATATATCAATGCCGAAGGTATAAGGGGAGAAACCGCACCCCCCCCCTTATCAGTCAATATAGGATATTTTCCCTTCTTTAAGTAAATCAACAGCTGTTTTTAGGGATAAGTTTCAAGTAGAGAAGCCTTACTTATCCTGCTCATTTCTCATTTTCCGGAAACAAAACTGAATTTTATAATGAGTGTTAAAAGGCAAGAAGTATTCATGCATCATAGTTCCCGTTTCAACCTCTCGCTCCAATTAACTTTCGAACCTGTCTATGCCCCAGGTGTGTGTCTGTATGGGAAAAATATACATGCATGCACACACATACACACATGCATATCTAAATGTATGTCATGTTTAATTATATATGCATATATACGCATGATTGCATGTATACAGCATATACAAAATATAGATATATTTATGTATATATACATATATATAAATAATATATATATAATATATAATATATATATATATATATTTAAATATATATTATATATATACATATATATATATATATATATATATATATATATAGATATATATATATATATATATATATATATATATTATTCACAGATAAGTAATGTATATAAATATATACAGAATATACAAACATATATACAGAATATATATATATATATATATATATATATATATATATATATATATATATATATATGTATAGGGCCGGTCATCATGACGTCAATAAAGCTGTCACGTCATCAATCGGAGGTTATAATGGGCAGAAACAACAACAAAATCCCACGAACTTCATTATTAAGTATTGGTCTGTCGTGAACATCGTCCGTTTTTCTCGATTTATATAAGATTCGCATCCTTTTTCATCCTTTTCTAAGAAACTTCGACACAGTCAACAATTGCAATATCATCGGATGTGCAAATGGACAGCAAAAAGATTCAACTTTGAGTTTTAATTGTTTTCCGAGAGACCCCGAGAGAAGGAGGCTTTGGCTATCAATCGCAAGAACTCTGATCCTGCACTTGGGAGTGATGCAAGAGTTTGTGTTAATGATACGCACGATAGCTTATAATGATATTCTAAAATCTAAAATGTTATATTATATCGTCACAACTCTTTCTAGGGGATGTATTTCCCCGTTGTTAGGCTTAGACCTCGGCGATGGTAAATGTTGTGGGGGAATGAATGGTTATTAATGAGTATCTTCTTTCACTTTAAGTTTCAGTTAATTTGATTTTAAAGCTTCCCCTGAACAAACATAAAACATAAAATGGGAACAAAATGAAGATAGTAAATATAGCGACTACTACACTGGCCTCTCAACAACTTCAGGAAATTTGCTTAAATCTTTTCAAGGCATCATTATGAGTATTGCGCGGGAATGTAAATTTAACATTTTAGAAAAGTCTGGTTATAACGTCCGATTTTTTTTCTTTTCTTTTTATAAAAACCCTGTTTTGAGCAACTTTTCGAAAAACCAGGCCTAAAAGGCAAAGAGCGAGCAAGACAATATATGGACGTGACGGTTACGAGACCCCTGCGCTCTCGTTGTTTGACTTTTGAAAATGGATCATAACGTCGCCAGTTAAGAAATCGTTGATAGTTCTCGTAACTGTTACGAGAGACAGCGTTTACGAGAGAGTCTAGTAAATCCGGTGTCTCTCGTAACAGTTACGAGAACTATCAACGATTTCTCAACTGGCGACGTTATGATCCATTTTCAAAAGTCAAACAACGAGAGCGCAGGGGTCTCGTAACCGCCACGTCCGTATTTTCTATCGCCAGGTGTCGTAGGGCTTTATTTCCTAAAAGAACGGCTCGATCGACCAATCAGCGTTAGCTCGAAAAAAAAAATCGACCAATCACAGAGCGTTATCCGCTTAACTGAGGCAACACTAATAATTTTTACTTAAAACAATTTCTATATCACCACCTGGTGAATCATCATCACCTTTCATTGATCATTATCACCTTTATAAATAGTCATGAATTCTGATACCTATATATATATATATATATATATATATATATATATATAGATAGATAGATTTATAGATAGATAGATAGATAGATATAGATATAGATAGCTATGGCTATACCCATCTCTCTCTCTCTCATATATATATATATATTATATATATATTATATATATATATACACACACATATATATATTCTATATATATATGTATATATATATATATATATATATATATATATATATATATATATATATATATATATATACCTGTATATATTTTGTATGTATAG